GCTGCATTGTGTACTGTGTGGAGGGCTGCATTGTGTACTGTGTGGAGGGCTGCATTGTGTACTGCGTGGAGGGCTGCAATGTATACTGTGTGGAGGGTTGCATTGTGTACTGTGTGGGGGCTGCATTGTGTACTGTGTGGAGGGTTGCATTGTGTACTGTGTGGGGGCTGCATTGTGTACTGTGTGGAGGGCTGCAATGTATACTGTGTGGAGGGCTGCAATGTATACTGTGTGGAGGGCTGCATTGTGTACTGTGTGGAGGGCTGCAATGTATACTGTGTGGAGGGCTTTAATGTATACTGTGTGGAGGGCTGCATTGTGTACTGTGTGGAGGGCTGCATTGTGTACTGTGTGGAGGGCTGCATTGTGTACTGTGTGGAGGGCTGCATTGTGTACTGTGTGGAGGGCTGCATTGTGTACTGTGTGGAGGGCTGCATTGTGTACTGTGTGGAGGGCTGCATTGTGTACTGTGTGGAGGGCTGCATTGTGTACTGTGTGGAGGGCTGCAATGTATACTGTGTGGAGGGTTGCAATGTATACTGTGTGGAGGGCTGCATTGTGTACTGTGTGGAGGGCTGCAATGTATACTGTGTGGAGGGCTGCAATGTATACTGTGTGGAGGGCTTCAATGTATACTGTGTGGAGGGCTGCATTGTGTACTGTGTGGAGGGCTGTGTTGTGTACTGTGTGGAGGGCTGCAATGTATACTGTGTGGAGGGCTGCAATGTATACTGTGTGGAGGGCTGCAATGTATACTGTGTGGAGGGCTGCATTGTGTACTGTGTGGAGGGCTGCATTGTGTACTGTGTGGAGGGCTGCAATGTATACTGTGGAGGGCTGCAATGTATACTGTGTGGAGGGCTGCATTGTGTACTGTGTGGAGGGCTGCAATGTATACTGTGGAGGGCTGCAATGTATACTGTGGAGGGCTGCAATGTATACTGTGTGGAGGGCTGCATTGTGTACTGTGTGGGGGCTGCATTGTGTACTGTGTGGAGGGCTGCATTGTGTACTGTGTGGAGGACTGCGATGTATACTGTGTTGAGGGCTGCATTGTGTACTGTGTGGAGGGCTGCATTGTGTACTGTGTGGAGGGCTGCAATGTATACTGTGTGGAGGGCTTCAATGTATACTGTGTGGAGGGCTGCATTGTGTACTGTGTGGAGGGCTGCATTGTGTACTATGTGGAGGGCTGCATTGTGTACTGTGTGGAGGGCTGCATTGTGTAATGTGTGGAGGGCTGCATTGTGTACTGTGTGGAGGGCTGCATTGTGTACTGTGTGGAGGGCTGCAATGTATACTGTGTGGAGGGCTGCAATGTATACTGTGTGGAGGGCTGCATTGTGTACTGTGTGGAGGGCTGCATTGTATACTGTGTGGAGGGCTGCATTGTATACTGTGTGGAGGGCTGCAATGTATACTGTGTGGAGGGCTGCAATGTATACTGTGTGGAGGGCTTCAATGTATACTGTGTGGAGGGCTGCATTGTGTACTGTGTGGAGGGCTGTATTGTGTACTGTGTGGAGGGCTGCAATGTATACTGTGTGGAGGGCTGCAATGTATACTGTGTGGAGGGCTGCAATGTATACTGTGTGGAGGGCTGCATTGTGTACTGTGTGGAGGGCTGCATTGTGTACTGTGTGGAGGGCTGCAATGTATACTGTGTGGAGGGCTGCAATGTATACTGTGTGGAGGGCTGCACTGTGTACTGTGTGGAGGGCTGCAATGTGTACTGTGTGGAGGGCTGCAATTTTACTGTGTGGAGGGCTGCAATGTATACTGTGTGGAGGGCTGCATTGTGTACTGTGTGGAGGGCTGCATTGTGTACTGTGTGGAGGGCTGCAATGTATACTGTGTGGAGGGCTGCATTGTATACTGTGTGGAGGGCTGCATTGTGTACTGTGTGGAGGGCTGCATTGTGTACTGTGTGGAGGGCTGCATTGTGTACTGTGTGGAGGGCTGCATTGTGTACTGTGCGGAGGGCTGCATTGTGTACTGTGTCAATGTATACTGTGTGGAGGGCTGCAATGTATACTGTGTGGAGGGCTGCATTGTGTACTGTGTGAAGGGCTGCATTGTGTACTGTGCGGAGGGCTGCATTGTGTACTGTGTGGAGGGCTGCAATGTATACTGTGTGGAGGGCTGCATTGTATACTGTGTGGAGGGCTGCATTGTGTACTGTGTGGAGGGCTGCATTGTGTACTGTGTGGAGGGCTGCATTGTGTACTGTGCGGAGGGCTGCATTGTGTACTGTGTCAATGTATACTGTGTGGAGGGCTGCAATGTATACTGTGTGGAGGGCTGCATTGTGTACTGTGTGGAGGGCTGCATTGTGTACTGTGCGGAGGGCTGCATTGTGTACTGTGTCAATGTATACTGTGTGGAGGGCTGCATTCTGTTCTGTGTGGAGGGCTGCATTGTATACTGTGTGGAGGGCTGCATTGTGTACTGTGTGGAGGGCTGCATTGTGTATTGTGTGGATGGCTGCATTGTGTACTGTGTGGAGGGCTGCAATGTATACTGTGTGGAGGGCTGCATTGTGTACTGTGTGGAGGGCTGTATTGTGTACTGTGTGGAGGGCTGCATTGTGTACTGTGTGGAGGGCTGCATTGTATACTGTGTGGAGGGCTGCATTGTGTACTGTGTGGGGGCTGCATTGTGTACTGTGTGGAGGGCTGCATTGTGTACTGTATGGAGAGCTGCATTGTGTACTGTGTGGAGGGCTACAATGTATACTGTGTGGAGGGCTGTATTGTGTACTGTGTAGAGAGCTGCATTGTGTACTGTGTGGAGGGCTGCATTGTGTACTGTGTGGAGGGCTGCATTGTGTACTGTGTGGAGGGCTGCAATGTATACTGTGTGGAGGGCTGCAATGTGTACTGTGTGGAGGGCTGCAATGTATACTGTGTGGAGGGCTGTATTGTGTACTGTGTGGAGGGCTGCAATGTATACTGTGTGGAGGGCTGCAATGTATACTGTGTGGAGGGCTGTATTGTGTACTGTGGAGAGCTGCATTGTGTACTGTGTGGGGGCTGCATTGTGTACTGTGTGGAGGGCTGTATTGTGTACTGTGTGGAGGGCTGCAATGTATACTGTGTGGAGGGCTGCAATGTATACTGTGTGGAGGGCTGTATTGTGTACTGTGTGGAGAGCTGCATTGTGTACTGTGTGGGGGCTGCATTGTGTACTGTGTGTAGGGCTGCATTGTGTACTGTGTGGAGGGCTGTGATGTATACTGTGTGGAGGGCTGCATTGTGTACTGTGTGGAGGGCTGCATTGTGTACTGTGTGGAGGGCTGCATTGTGTACTGTGTGGAGGGCTGCATTGTGTACTGTGTGGAGGGCTGCATTGTGTACTGTGTGGAGGGCTGCAGTGTATACTGTGTGGAGGGCTGCAATGTATACTGTGTGGAGGGCTGCATTGTGTACTGTGTGGAGAGCTGCAATGTATACTGTGTGGAGAGCTGCAATGTATACTGTGTGGAGGGCTGCAATGTATACTGTGTGGAGAGCTGCATTGTGTACTGTGTGGGGGCTGCATTGTGTACTGTGTGGAGGGCTGCATTGTGTACTGTGTGGAGGGCTGCAATGTATACTGTGTGGAGGGCTGCAATGTATACTGTGTGGACGGCTGCATTGTGTACTGTGTGGAGGGCTGCATTGTGTACTGTGTGGAGGGCTGCATTGTGTACTGTGTGGAGGGCTGCAATGTATACTGTGTGGAGGGCTGCAATGTATACTGTGTGGAGGGCTGCATTGTGTACTGTGTGGGGGCTGCATTGTGTACTGTGTGGAGGGCTGCATTGTGTACTGTGTGGAGGGCTGCATTGTGTACTGTGGAGGGCTGCATTGTGTACTGTGTGGAGGGCTGCATTGTGTACTGTGGAGGGCTGCATTGTGTACTGTGTGGAGGGCTGCAATGTATACTGTGTGGAGGGCTGCATTGTGTACTGTGTGGAGGGCTGCATCGTGTACTGTGTGGAGGGCTGCATTGTGTAGCGTGTGGAGGGCTGTATTGTGTACTGTGTGGAGGGCTGCATCGTGTACTGTGTGGAGGGCTGCATTGTGTACTGTGTGGAGGGCTACATTGTGTACTGTGTGGAGGGCTGCATTGTGTACTGTGTGGAGGGCTGCATCGTGTACTGTGTGGAGGGCTGCAATGTATACTGTGTGGAGGGCTGCATTGTGTACTGTGTGGAGGGCTGCATTGTGTACTGTGTGGAGGGCTACATTGTGTACTGTGTGGGGGGCTGTATTGTGTACTGTGTCGAGAGCTGCATTGTGTACTGTGTGGAGGGCTGCATTGTGTACTGTGTGGAGAGCTGCATTGTGTACTGTGTGGAGGGCTGCATTGTGTACTGTGTGGAGGGCTGCATTGTGTACTGTGTGGAGGGCTGCATTGTGTACTGTGTGGAGGGTTGCATTGTGTACTGTGTGGAGGGTTGCATTGTGTACTGTGTCTAGAGCTGCAATGTATACTGTGTGGAGGGCTGCATTGTGTACTGTGTGGAGAGCTGCATTGTGTACTGTGTGGAAGGCTGCATTGTGTACTGTGTGGGGGCTGCATTGTGTACTGTGTGGAGGGCTGCATTGTATACTGTATGGAGGGCTGCATTGTGTAATGTGTGGAGGGCTGCATTGTGTACTGTGTGCAGGGCTGCATTGTGTACTGTGTGGGGGCTGCATTGTGTACTGTGTGGGGGGCTGTATTGTGTACTGTGTGGAGGGCTGCATTGTGTAGTGTGGAGGGCTGTATTGTATACCGTGTGGAGGGCTGTATTGTATACCGTGTGGAGGGCTGCAATGTATACTGTGTGGAGGGCTGCATTGTGTACTGTGTGGAGGGCTGTATTGTATACCATGTGGTGGACTGTATTGTATACCGTGTGGAGGGCTGCAATGTATACTGTGTGGAGGGCTGTATTGTATACTGTGTGGAGGGCTGCAATGTATACTGTGTGGAGGGCTGTATTGTATACTATACAGAAAACAATGACTCACCATTCTTGCCACGTTTTCTGAGACGGGCCTGCATTTTCCTGGAGTTGGTCCGGAGATAAATATGCTCGACGTTGAAGTCCTGTTAGGAGATGAAAGCAAGTAATATAAAATGTATGATGTGACTGTGGTCTATCTCACCCACTGTACCGATGCAGTCTTGCAACTTACAAGCCCCAGTGCAGTCCTTTCTTAATCTTTTCCCATTTGGTAATTTGGTATATACTATACATATTTACTCTACTTTCATTAATGCTTATAAGAATATGGCCAGTGTTAACTTTTCGTTTTTTCCTGTTATTATACTTTATATTATTATACTTTAATTCAAGTTTGTATTTACTGTGTTCTCAGTTTCAGCTTAACCTTTAAAAAGAACCAGTGTTGAATGTAATGAAACGCCATTTTCTGGGCGAGACCCGGAGGCTCCCCAAAGCTACATTGGGCTGATGTGTATACATTAGACCATGGCAACAGTCAATCGATGGAGTTCTTAGCCTACCAGGGACCACGAGCCACAACCTGGCCCCCTCAGAGAGGCACGAGGAGCAATGGCCTATAGAAACCCCCATGTAGTTGGAAGCAGTCTATGTCTGCCATCTACCAGGTCAGGCACCCAGAAAGGAAGGAATCCCCAAAATCCGCAAAAGCACGATGTCTCCGGGAGGAACAGAACCGGCCGCTATGCGTATCATAAGACAGCCGTACAGTACCTTGTACCCCAGCCAGTGACGATGCTACCTCCTAACCAAGGCCAAACAGTAGTAGGACTAACCCCAACTGACCCCAAGGGTGGGCAATCACCGGGCAGCAGAAGAACCATGAGGAGGTAGCCCCCGAACAGTTTGTGGAAGGTAACGCCAAACTGCAAGGGCAGTACTTACAAGGCACCTAGGGGAGGTGACCCTAAGCACGTGCAGCCTCAGTACTTCAGGAATAACACCTGGCTTGCACACACCACACCGCAGCACATCATCACAAGGCATGCAACTGCTCAAAGATTGGTGATTGACCACCACCCAACAACAGCCTAAGAACTGGGGTTCGGTAGCCAGTATGGGAGGTCTCGAACCCTCCCCTCCCCCCCCCTTCCAATTCCTGGGGAGGGGGGAATTGTCCAGAGACACGGCGACTGTGGTGACGTCATGCTTGCTTGCTTGTTTTCTGATTGGGAAGTTCTGCGTGCTCATTTGACTTTCGGTTTCCAATGTTTAACCAGTTGTAGTTTGTTTTGGGGGTTCCTACCTTTCTGGCTGTCTGACCTGGCAGATGGCAGACATACACTGCTTGCAACTATATGGAGCTGTCTATGGGCCATTGCTCCTCGTGCCTTTCTGAGAGGCCCAGGTTCTGGCTTGTGGTCCCTGGTAGGCTAAAAACTCCATCGCCTGACTGTTGCCACAGTCTAATATATACACATTAGCCCGGTATAGTTCCGGGGAACCGGAGGGCCTCTCCACAGAAAGTCCAGTGCTGAATATAATGAAATGCTTCTTTCTGGTAGGTCCTCAGTGGCTCCTTACTTCTGCACCTGGTTACCTCCACCCACTTGAAGTCACACCTGACTCTTACAAGTCACTGAAAGCCTACCAGGGACTACAACCCAATGCCTAGTTCTCATTGAGGCACAAAGAGGAAGATCACCCTAACTGTAAAATAAACCACCAAAAATGGTAGAGCAAAAGAAAACAGACAACTGTAAAGCAAATCTAAACAGCTCAGAAAACGAGCCACCCAGTAGTTAGGTTGTTCACCCTCTAGTAGCAGCTGCCCACAATGTAACTTATGACTCATGACTTAGTCATACGCTAACCAAAGGCACACTTGATGCATCTGATGCATCCTACCCAAGGGCAAACAGGAATAAGAACCTCCCCAGCTGAACCCCCAAGGGCGAGCAATCAAAGAGCAGCGACAGAACCACACGGAGGTAGCTGCTCCTGAACGGCTCATGGAACATAACCCCTGAGGCAGCAAAGGCAGTACTTACAGGGCACTTAGGGAAGGTAGCCCTAGGTGCATGCAGCCCCAGTACTCGTGTGTTACTTCCAGCTCACACGCCACCAAAACAGAGCAACAACACCGCACTGCAGCACCGCGCAAAGCGTGGAGCCACAGCGATCGACCGTCACCAACACAACAGCCTCTTGAACCGAGGAGAGTTGCCGGCGTGGAGGTCTAGGAACCCCCCGTTCCCCTCCCGGGGAGGGGGGGTGGTGGTTTGCGCAGACGGATGCGCGGCGGTTGTGGTGACGTCATGTTTGTGTCCTTGTTTTTAATTGGGGAGTTCTGTTTGCTAGTTCGGCTTTCAGTTTGCAATTTCTGACCAGCACTAGTTTGTTATAAGATCTTTCTGGGTGCCTGACCTGGGACATGGCAGACAAAGACTGCTTCCAATTACACCGGGGTGTCTTTAGGCCATTGCTCCTCGTGCCTCTCTTGAGGGGACCAGGTTCTGGCTCTGGTCCCTAGTAGACTTAGAACTCCTTCGATTGACCGTTGCCATGGTGTAATATATACACATCAGCCCGGTATAGCTCCAGGGAGCCGAAGGGACTCTCCACAGAAAAAAGGATGAACCACACATCAAAATACATCTTGTTATATTTAAATAGTCAATTATTTACTTAACCAAATTATTGTTAATTCCAACCAAAATCCTGTTGGGCAATTGTGAACAATTTTGATATAAAACAAAACACAGCAGACAGCCTTTGCAAAAATATAAAAAGACCAAATTTTGTTAAGTTATACTAAACATATGACAATAATACAACAAATACAATAATAGGTATCTACCTGGAAGTTGGGGAAGACGGTGTGTGGGGGAAGTGGTCCCTTGACCAGGAACTTGAGCTTGCGAGCATTGGTGCTGAGTCTGTCGCCAGTGTCAATACCAAGCTTCTGGCACACCACACTGATCATACGCCGCATCTGAATCCAACACATATCATTATTTGTGTGTGTGTGTGTGTAATTACCTAAGTAATTACCTAAGTGTAGTTACAGGATGAGAGCTACGCTCGTGGTGTCCCGTCTTCCCAGCACTCGTAGGGGGCCTCGTAGCCTGGTGGATAGCGCGCAGGACTCGTAATTCTGTGGCGCGGGTTCGATTCCCGCACGAGGCAGAAACAAATGGGCAAAGTTTCTTTCACCCTGAATGCCCCTATTACCTAGCAGTAAATAGGTACCTGGGAGTTAGTCAGCTGTCACGGGCTGCTTGCTGGGGGTGGAGGAGTAGACCTCAAGATAACCACTCTTTGTCATATAACGCTTTGAAACTACTGACGGTCTTGGCCTCCACAACCTTCTCACTTAACTTGTTCCAACCGTCTACCACTCTATTTGCAAAGGTGAATTTTCTTACATTTCTTCGGCATCTGTGTTTAGCTAGTTTAAATCTATGACTTGTTCTTGAAGTTCCAGGTCTCAGGAAGTCTTCCCTGTCGATTTTATCAATTCTTGTTACTATTTTGTACGTAGTGATCATATCACTACGTGCGTGCGTGCGTGCGTGCGTGCGTGTGTGTGTGTGCGTGAAAGTTAACGTTTTCTATGGTGATGGATCTCTGTTAGAAGCTCTAAAAATATAAATTGTTCATCTCCAAATTCTGCAATAATGTGATATTGCAAGATGTAAGAAATAACAAAAAAGAATCTGAGGAATACAGGTAGAAAAAACCAGAGTTGAATGTAATGAAATGCCATTTTCTGGGTGAGACCCGGAGGCTTCCCCAGAGATATCCAGGCTGATATGGATATATTAGACTTTGGCATCAGTCAGTGTGCATGGAAGTCTAGGCCTACCGGGGACCACGAGCCAGAACCTGGCCCCCTCAGAGGGCCAGGTTCTCTTACCGTTGTTCAGATTTACCTGGGGGGGGGCAAGTTTGAATGCCCCAATGCGTGTTTGTTCACCCATGTCCTTCCGTGGGATGTCAGCCAGGTGCAGCTTCACGTACAGGTTCCCTCCCATTCTGCGGCTCTAGTAGCCGAGGACTTGCGTGCCCGTGGACATTTGGCTTCAGTACTGCTTTTTTTTTCTCTTCTCGAGGTGTCTTCGAACTGGCTTGAGGAGGATGTGGAGGCACTGGGTGCCAATCCTGGGTCCAGTGCCCTGATCTCAAGGGTGAGGGCGTTGGCTGCACTGTTGAAGCTGTTTGGGCTGATCCTGCAGGTGGTGGTGTGTCTGTTCTTTACTTCTCATCTCGCGTATCATCAGGCAGTGCTCGCTCAGTCTTTGGAATCCACTTGGGCCCTGGCTTTAGGTTTTCTTCGCCTTTTTGTCTTTTGCTGTTTGCAGAATCTGTGGAGGTGCAGTATCTGCAAGCAGCCTTTTCTAGTTGTCGTCCCATGTTGGACTTGTTGATTCTCCGGGAGCCTGCGAGGAGGGTCTTCCCGGAAAGGTCGTGCCAGGGCTTGGGGTTCCTGCCATTGTGGTAGGCCAGTGGTGCCGGCTCCAGAGCCCGTGCAGCCTTTGGAACCGACGACATCTGTTTGGTGCGGTGATCGTTCTGCTCGTCAGTCGGTTTCTCATAAGAGGCAACAGCCCTTTTGAGGTTCCTCCTATTGACAGAGAGATAGGAAGGAGGCTCGCACTGTTTGCTCATGCCTGATACCACGATTCGTGGGAGTTTCGGGTCGTTTCGTGCGGCCTGAGGTGGTGTTGAGTGGCTCCTCCTCCTCCTCCTTTGGGAAGTTCAGGGCTGGCGGGCAGGCTTCTTTCCCTGTGCTCTGTTGAGTCATCTCGGAGTGGGTTCACTTGGGTGTGGTCGAAATGACATCGTCCCTCAGGCAAGTTTCCCCGCCTGTTTCCGGTTCCGAAACGGGACTGCGCGGACTTCAGGTTCATTCTGGACTTGTCCCGTTTGAACCCCCGAGTCTATTGCCCCTCCCTTCACATGACTACTCTGTCCTAGGTCTATCTTCTATTGGAGCCAAGTGCTTGGATGGTGTCCCAGAACTTCAGGGATGCATACTGGCACGTTCCAATTCATCAGGGGTTCAGGGACTGGCTAAGTTTTGTTATGGGGCATCAGGCTTATTGCTTTCGTTGGGGCTTGAATCTGGCACCTCGCGTGTTCACACTGGCTGGTGCAAGAGTCTAGGGCTCCCCGCACCAGCTATCTCCCCCCCCACCTTCTCCCTCCCAGGGAGGGGGGAGAGCTGCACAGACGGCGGCACAGTGACGGCTGTGAAGTCATGCTCATTTGCTCATTTTCGTTTGGGGAGTTCTGTCCAAAAGTTCGGATTTCTGTAGCAATTTGTTAACCAGATAAGGTTTGTTTTGGGGCGCCTACCTTTCTGTGTCTGCCAGACCTGGTCGATGGCAGGCACAGAATGCTTCCTACCACACGGAGATTTCTGTTGGCCATTGCTCCCCATACCTCTCTGAGGGGGCCAGGTTCTGGCTCGTGGTCCCCGGTAGGCCTAGAATTCCATTCATTTTGACTGATGCCAGGGTCTAATACATTCATATCAGCCCGGATAGCTCTGGGGAGCCTCTGGGTCTCACCTAGAAAATGACATTTCATTACATTCAATGCTGTTTTTATAATTTGTTTAAATTGGTGTAGGGTGGGGGTGGGGGAGTTCTTTTGGAGAATTTGAGGTATTAACATTTCCTTATAACCAGCAGTGGTCTGTTTTATCTCGCTGACTTTGTGGATGCTTTCCCTGTGGTAGCAGACAGATTAAAATTCACTGACAATTTTATCATAGTTATTGCTCTCTGCACCTGATTAGAGGGGGGCCAGGTTCTGACTTGTGGTTCTCAGAAGCCTAAAAGAACTCCATGACTGATGGCACCTAGCAGTTTGGCACTGTATCAGCATTCTAGCTTGAAGGAGCCAGAAGGGTCTTCCCCACTAGAAAATCCTTTTTTAGGTCCAGATAAATGCAATCAACCCAACCATCTTTTCCTGTAAATTCTCCAAGGCTCTTATCATAGAAACTAAGTACCGTATTTATGTTGCACAGGATCTTTCTGTTCAAAAGCCATACTGTTATTATATTATTCTCCACGCTAGTCAATGATGCAGGCCTATAATTGAGCGTGTCTCGCCTGTTACCACTTTTACTGACTGCTATTTTGTGTTTCTCCATATATTTACCTGAGGGCCACTAACATTAGTGGCCTCGACAAGGACAGGAAGCCAGTGGGTTGTTGAAGGTCCCCCCCCCATTTGTCTTGCATTTTAAAACCTAACAGTTGTTTGGCGTTTGTGGCTTCGGCAGGTAGGCAGTTCCATGGGTTAGTAACCCTGTGGGTGAATAAGCATCTCCTGTTCTCAGTCCTACACCGAGGATTGTTGAGCTTGAAACCGTTGCTCCGTGTTTCTGACCGTCTGAAGACATTGTCAGGATCAGCATCCTCCAACTTGTTCAGTACTTTAAATGTTACAATGAGATCTGCCTTGTCATGACTGGTTTGCAGTGTTGTTAGGCTTGTGGCCCTCAACCTTTCCCAAGTTGGACTCCACAAATAGTCTTCTGGCTATTTGAGGAGTTCATGTAGCTCTCTTTGTAAGGCTTCGATATCATTATTATTTCCCCACTTTAAAATAAATGTTTGTGGCATCTGCAAATTTGATTATGTGGTTTGTAATATTTTCATGTAAAGAAAATATTACATGTTTGTAATATTCTCATGTAATATCTGTCATTGATGCACATAACAAAAAGGGCAGATCCCAAGGGTCAAAAGAGACCCTTGTGGCACCCCATTTACCACATTTCTCCATTCTGATTCATTCCCATTTAGCACAACCCTTTGTTTTCTTTGTTTCAACCATTGTTTTATCTATTCTAGTATTTTACCATTTATTCCATGTGCCTGTAATTTACTTGCTAGTTTTTCAGTGGTACCTTATCAAAGGCTTTAGCAAAATCCACGTATTTATACTACATGCACCGGAAGGACTGAGAGTAGCTGGTTAATGTTTCCAAAAATATGAGCAAGTTTGTAAGGCAGGATGTACTTTTAATAAACTCATATTGTGTCAATTGTACAAGATTGTTCACTGAAAGATAGATGGTGAATGATTTCCTCCCTGAGAATTCTCTCTATGAGCTTGCAGAAGTGTGATATCAAGCTGATTGGCTGGTAGTTTTCTGTTGAGCTCTTTCTGCATTTTGAAAATAGAGTGACATTTGCATATTTCTATTAATGGGGCATATATCTTGGTCCAGAAATTTTGTGAAAAATAATTTCAGTAGTAGGTATAGTTCTGCCAGTTCCTTTGTAACTCTGGATTGGATTCCATCCACACCTTGGGCTTTTGAGTCTTTGGCAACTCTTGGACATGATCTTGTGGGGGCCATGGCATAAAAGGCAGCGAGGTGCAGCAGAGCACCAACCATTATCTGTATGACCTGTGCTGCTGCAGTTTGCATAGTGTGCTGCATTCTGGCAGGTGAGGTGATTATGGCCTAATAGATGGCAAGCATAGCATCATAACACAAGAAAGTTGTAGGACTGGACCTTATACAAGGTCCTGTGTAGCCTGTCAAACTTAACACAAACCATGGATGTTGGCCCTGCTGCTCCGCGAATCCTGCCAATTTCCAGTAATTCTGCCGATGCACCCGCTAACACCTGCAGAGTGGCCAGGACTTTACTTTACCTCTCAGGTCAATTGGGATGATCTTCCCATACCGGGCCGGGGACTCCTCCTCCAGCAACAGTACTTGTCGGAATCTGACAGGCCAGTCCCACAATGTGATAATGTTAGACAGCCGGATGTACAACAGAGCCTCCTGCCTGATGTGTAGCTTTAGTGCTGCACCCTTATCCACGGTATGCACAGTCTCAGACAGTCTCGATTGCTGCAATTAAGGTGCGAAGATTCATAAACACGTACTGACCTGTTATTGACTGAATTAGGACAACCACAAACAAGGAATAAGGTACCACAGGAGGAAGGTCTTCTGAA